CAGCAGGCAGCCGGCACACCGGGGCGCCAGGGCGGGGTGAGGCGGCGGCGTGGGCGCTTGGCGGCGGGCCAGGGGCGCGGGGCGACCGGCGCTGCGGAAACTGCGACGGCGGCCCCAGGGCGGAGAGCGGCAGGCGGAGCAGTGGCGCAGCGCCACCGGGTGGCCAGGCTGCGGAGCGCAGGGGCGAGGTGTCGAGGCCAAGCGGCGGAGAAGCGCACCGCCATCCCAAGGCCTCTCTAGGTGCCCAAAAGGGCCAATGCCCGCAGCTGCGGGAGGAGGGAAGGGCCGAGTCGACGTCCTCGACGCGCTGCTGCCAGCTGTTCGGGCCACGACCTCACCCCAAGGTGCCCGCCGCTGCGGCGCTGCCAGAAAGAGAGCGCCGCGCGGCGGAGAGGAGAAGGAGCGAGGAGAGGACGGGAGGAGCGCTAAGGATATCATAAGTACGATAGCCTGTTCCTATGATATCGTTGGGACCTGGGCCCCAACGATATCACACGGCCTGGGAGGGCCCCGAGGAGTTCCCGGAAATTTCAAAGAGGGGCCCGCGAGGGCCCAGAGAGGGCCCAAAGCGAGCTCCAAGTGGGCATTAGCAGGCATCGCGCCAAACTCCGTCAAATGGAGTTTGGCGCGATGCGTCATGTGCCCCTCTTGGAGCCCCCTTGGGCCGCTCTTGGGGCCTTCTTGGGCCCTCTGCGGCCTCTCTTGGCGCCCTCTCGGGCCTGTCTTGGAGCCCCCCTTGGGGCCTTCAGAAGCTTCGAGAGGACCCCGAGAAGGCCCGCCAGGGAAACAGGATTCCTCAAACGTTCTACGCCCAGAGGGCTGGGTGCTGGAGAGATTGAATGGCAATTTCAAGGTATCGCAGGGCCGGCTATAGAGACTTGCAACGTATTGTATTGCAGGGTCTCTCTCTTGCATGGTATTGCAAGGTGTCCTTAAGATTCTTGGCGAGGTTTTGCAGGATCCTCTCACTGGTCTTTACATGTTTTCGCAGGGTCACTGCAGGGGTCTTTGCAAGGTCTTTGCATGGAGGCTCTAGCACGGGTCGTCGTATGGGTTGGCACTCTGGGATGGGGGGGCGCCGCGTGCGACCGTTCCCGACGGCCCCAGAACCTGGAGGCAACTTATCCTAGGGACAAATCTAGCAACTCCCGAAGAGATGAGTCAGTGAGCTGCGCTGGCAAAGATGCTGGCATCGGGGCGCCAGGCTGCGCTGCCGAGAATGGCGGCGTCGGTGCTCCCAGTTGTGCTAGCGAGGATGATTGAGGTACTCCCGGCTGGCACTGTCCTGCATCTCCTCGCTGGCTGATCTCCGCACTGGCTCTTATGGCGCTGTGGTCTGACTGGGAAACCGGCACTTCGCTGAGCAGCGGCATGCCCCGCTGCCACAGCTCGCCGTTCTCGTGCGCGCTGATCCTGATGCCGGCGCTGAAGCTGGCCACGTCGGCCTCCAGCCGTGCCACGCGCGCGGCCACACCGTCCAGAAAAGCCCCGCGCCCGGCCTCCGCCGCGCGCCAGGTCTCCGCCAGGCGCGCAGCCTGCAAGAAGGCAACCGTCGCCGAACGCTCGGCCTCCAGCGTGGCCACGCGCCTGGCGTCTTCCGCCTGCGCGGCAAGGACGGCCACCCAGCTCGCCGTGCCAGCAACCCGGGTGGCTCGCCAGGGCTGGCCTCCGCAGCCGCCATCGAGGCCGAGGCGGCGGCCCAGGCCGCGAAAGCAACCGCCTCGGCGGCAGCAGCGGAGCGGCCAGCAGCGGCAGCGTTAGCCGCCGCGGCGGCGGCGTGGGCCGCCCCACCACGAGGCCAGAGCCGCCGGCGGCAGTGTCGGCCGCCGCGGCAGCGGTGCAGGGCCGCCCTGCGGGTCCCAGCGGCACCCCAAAGGCGGTGGCCGCCAGCGGCGCGGAGGGCGCACGCGGCGGCGGAGCCGCCGCCGTCGGCGGCAGCGTGAGACGCCGCGGCGGCGGGGCAGACCGCCTCACGGGCCCCGGCGGCCCCCCAAGGGCGGTGGCCGCCCGCAGCGGCGGCGGCAGCGGCTGGGCAGGCGAGGCGGCGGCAGCGTGAGGCGCCGCGACGGCGCAGCCGCCCGCCCGGCGACCCCCACAGGGCGGTGGCCGCCCGCGGCGGCCTGGCAGGCGCAGCAGCTCGGCGCTGCCGCCGCAGCCGCGCCGTGGCGGACTCCATCTCTCGCGGCGGGGAGGAGCCGGGAGGGGGGGGTGGCCCTCCCAGCTCCGCCAAGGCGGCCCGGCGGACGAGCGGCCGCCGCCCCCAGTGCGGCAAGTTGGCTAGGCTCCCTCGAGCTAGAGCGGCTTGAGCAAAGGCTTGGGCCAGACGCGACGGACAGACACTCGCGATGTTGGCGCTACGCGAGCCCCCGAGGCTCTAGGCCCCGTCCCTGGCGCAAGGCTCTTGTTCTGGATCCCCCATTGTCAGTAATGGCCGCCAGAGGAGACGGAAGGAGGGAGGGAGGGAGGGAGGGAGGGAGGGAGGGAGAAGGAAGATGATGATGATGAGGAGGAGGAGGAGAAAGAGTTCCAGTGTAAGCCCAAGACGCACCAACGATATTGCAATCAACCCGCCCAAGACTTTTTTCTGTATAGGCCCCGACAAGAATTTATCTTCATTGAGGGAATTACCCCATCGGCAAAACAACCGTCTGCGAATCTTCAGTCGTACCGAGAATTGTTCCGTCGGGGGCGAAGCAGAAGTGCTGCTCCAGTGGACGGGCGATCGGGGCAACCGATACGCTAACTTGCCAGCGTGCAAGAGGGAGGAACTAGACAGACAGGGCGGCCGCAAAGGACGGGAGGAGGCGGAAGGCACTCAGTCGCGGAAGAAATCCAAGCTGAGTGCGCCGGCGCGGCAGTCGTTTCCAAGCTCACAATTTTTGGGAATTCGGCGCCGCGAATCAACATGACTGTTGCGTCTTGGCAATCCTAGGTCGTGCCAGAACAGCACTCATGCTACCCCGACATCGCGACATATCATGACTGATGCGTCCTGACAGTCCTAAATCGCGCCAGCACACAATTCCTGGGGGCTTCAACCATACCAAGACGTGAAGCTGCTGCAACGACCAGGCTGTATAGACGTCGTCTCGGCCAAAATGGCACTATACAGGGCACGGGAAAAGCGTGAACCCTCCAGCAGGAAAAGTCGCCGAGGCATCATCTACGAGGCGCCAGAGAGGCACAGAACGACAGAATCTGCCAGCTAAATGCCAGGATGGGCGGAAAACCAAGTACAGCGCCAGGGAGGCTCAAAAACGACAGAAATTGCCAAATCGGTGCCAGAACCGGCGGAACATATAAGCGATATATCCGTCAACTCGAACCCGAAACCGGAGAAGAATTGGCGAGCCCCGAGAGGTCCTCAACCAGCGACCGGCCGATGCGAGGCTGAAGCTAACACCGAGCCTAAAAAGGTCCTCGAAGATGCCAGTCCAACAAATCAAGAAGAACGCGAGAGTACCAAGGGACATATTGGCAGTGGTGGAAAATAGAGGCGGCAGTGCCGGAGCAGGACGCCTCACGGAGGGTGCGCGCCGAGCTCGGCGCCGCAGCAGAAGCCAGCTTCCCAGAGCAGGAATAACAGAGCCGACGCCCCCTCAGCGGCGCAGAGTCAGTCATCGCCGCTCGCCAGGCTGCTGGCCTGCCCCCCCTCCTTCATGAGCTTATCCTTCGACGAGTACTCGGCGGGGAACGAGGAACGCAATGCCAACAGGGCGGCAGCATACGCAGCCCCGCGCCGAATCAGCAGGCGGTCGCGCCGGTCAGCCCACCGCTGCTGGAAGCGAGAAGCTTCAGACTCCAAGCGCATTGCGATGACCTCATGCGTGAGGCCCTCCCCGAGCCAGCCGCGAATCCGCGCGAAAACCTTCAGATATTCGTGGCTGTACTTCCGGTGGCTGTCGCGGGGTTCGCCGACGCCGATAGCACCCCTCCTTCGCGACTCGATAGCGCCGTTTCCTGTCGGATCATCCTTGCTCTCAGCACGTAGTCGAAGAACGAGGTGAGACGCCAAGATTTGGAGAGGTAAAGCGACGGGTAAGGTGTCGGGTAGGGCGTGGGTGGGGGCGTCGGGAATGGCGTCGTCGGGAAGGGCGTCGTGGGCGTCGGGTAGAGCGCACATTGAGTTGTGCGCAGGTGGGTCCGCGATCTGTGTGGAGCTGCTGGTGGAGTGGGGGATGCCGGCGCCGTTAAAAAAAAGACGTGAAGTTCCTGAAAACTTGTGACACGAATGCTCGCGGCGCTAAGGCCAGAACCAAATTTTAGAAAGGAGCCACCCTGGACCCTTGAAAATGCTGCGAACTTTTAAAACGAATGTGCGCATGGCAAGGGCGAGAGCCACAGCTTGAAAACCACCCGCCTCCCCATCCTTGAAATCGTTGCAAACGTTTTAGACGAATACGCGCGGCGCTAAGACGAGAGCCACACCTTGAAAACCACCCGCTCTCTATCAATGACGCCGTTGCAAACGTTTAAGACGAATGAGCGCGGCGCTAGGCCTAGAGTCACACTAAACAAAAAGACTCGCACTCCATCCCTGAAGCTGCTGCAAGCGTTTAAGACGAATGAGCGCGGCGCTAGGGCGAGAGCCACATCTTGAAAGCCACCCACCCTCCATCCTTGAAGTTGTTGCATGTGTTCAGCTTGACGGAGAAGCCTCAAGCGAAACGCCCAGTTCGCCCTACCAACACGCCTGGAGGCGCGACAGGGAGGAGCTACACGTTGTTCATTTATTTTGCAATTATTCGAAAGTTCTTTCATCTTGGGGGGCCAAGATCCTTTCATTTCTAATTGTTCTGTCCTGGGCCTCTTCCTGGCCACTGGGAGGCCAGGAACAATTAGAAACGAGCACAATTAGGAATGAACGACGTGTGTTCATATGGGAAAAGGATGGAGGAGCATCCCCTGATCTGGGAGAAGTGGGAGTATCCCCTGATCTGGGAGACGTGGCCTGGGCCCCTGCCCTCGGAGCGGCCTCCCTCCGCGCGCGGACCGGCGAGGCGCTCCCCGACGGGGCAGCAGAGAAGACCACGCAGGCGCCTGCGCGGCCAGAAAGGGCCGGGCGTCATCGACGACGGCGTTGTCGACGCGCCATCGTCCCCGGTCCATCACGCTACCGACGATTGCAGCTCGGGGCCCCCCACACGGCGCGGTGACCACACCGTGTGGTGCGTCAGTGGGGGTTCGGGATGGGGTCGTTCTCCGACGAGGTCTCGGGCGACCGGGGCATCCGAGGTCAAGAACCTTGTGGTGACGGAACGTGCGGTCGGCGAACGGGTCATGTTCTTGACCCGCGCCTTTGTGGCCACATATCGAGTGTACGGCGACGCCAGCGGCGGTCCTCTATCTCTTCGCGACCGACGAGCGAGCGGCCCGGCATCCACCAGTGGCAGCCTCGGGGCACGAGCAGCCCGCTCGGGGGGCTCTCCCCGAGCGCTCCAGGGACGGTTCCGGGGAGTGCGCCCGATGTATCCGTTGAGAGGCTCGCTTCCACTTGTCGGGTCGTGCTTGCACCCTATTTGAGGCAGTTATGCCTTCCAGCCAAGACGTTGAAGCAAGAGCATCACTTTGGGCTCAAGACGGCCGTTGGTTTGCGGGCCGTTTCTCAGTTCCAAGTCTGGGGACCCATTAGCATTTGTGGCCGAGGCTCGCCGTTGCCGGGAAAGCCCCTTGAAGTCTTATTCGGCGTCCCTTCTGGTAGCAAGATGAGCGTACTCATGGCAGCTACGCCCTACTCATGCCCTCCTCATGGCAATCGAACGCACCAGATTTACAGCCTCCCAGGACTACGCGATGACCACAAACGAGCCTCCAAGCTGCGGACTCGCCAGATCTCTCTCTATCTCTCTCTCTCTCTCCCTCTCTCTCCGAGATCCGTGCTGCAGTTGCGTCGGTCGCTCTACTCAGAAGCCTCGCTCCGCTCCTCTATCGCTGCAGGGGCAGACGGGGGGGAGAGGGAAGTTGGGTGTTGATTGTCCCTCTTGGGCCTCCAGAGACGTGCTCCGAAGGGAAGAGAGGCGGAGAAGGAGGAGAAGGGACGACCAGAGTAAACCAAAGATGCATCAGCGATACTGCAAGCCACACTCCCGTCCCAAGTCCCTTCCTCACACGTCCCAATAAGTTTCTCTTTTCTCTACGAGAAGCGCCCCATCTTGAAAGACCAGCACAGATGGGCCTGCCAGTTTGGCGATGGCCTCGCTTTTACAAGCAATTGCCTTGCATGTCTCTGGCGCGCAATCAGGAACACGGAAAAGTGAGATCATACGGTTCAACGAGATGTCCAGCGAGATCCCACTTCCGAAAACGGACCGTCCCCCACCAGCGCAGCTGTTAGCCATGAATTAAAAGTAAGTCTCAAGCGACAGCTCCATGTTGAAACAAATGCCGCCCTCGATCTGTACAGCGCTACATGCGTTAAAGTTCCGCTTGTTTCAATTGGCGAAGTCTCCGGCGAGAACCCTTCTTTGAAAAAGAGCCATCCGCCACCCTTCTAGCGCTGGATGAGAAAATGATTGCACGCGGCGCTGAGGTGAGAGCCCCATTTGGAAAACGAGCCGTGCTCAATCATTGAAGCTGTTGCAAGATTGTGAGACGAGTCCCTGCCTCTGCCTCCTGCCTGGGATTTGCTCACTCTCTGCCTCCTGTGCCTGCTGCTTCCTTTGCCAGCGATCGCTCGGCGGCCGCATGTTCCGGGAGTGTCCGGATGTGGATTAATTCAGATTGTTATTCATCGATGTTTCGATTGTCGAGGGCATGTTCCCTTTGCCTTGGCGGTGGGGTCGCCTCAGCTCAGCTCTAGGTTGTTCCTTCCTCCTCCGGTGTCTCTCCTTCCTCCTCTTTTCTCCTCCTAGTTATCCTCCTTCTCCTCCCCACCTCCAGCTTGATAGGAGCCAGGGTCATGTCTCTATCACGCGCTGCCCTGCAATGGGTCCAGGCTGTAGCATTCGTCGGCAGCCACGAACGAATGCACTCCAGAGCGGTGCGACTTATTTTCTGTGGGTTCCTGTTGCACACCTTCGTAACCCGGAGTGGCGCGATTGATGTTGTCTAGTTCGCCTGGGACTTCTTTCATTTCATCACCCTCTCCTCTTCCTCATCGTCCTCCCTCCTCTCTTCCATCGTCCTCCTCCCTTCTGTCGCAATTGCGTTGTCGATCCGTTGTTCAGGCCACGGTTCATAGCATGAGTTTTCTTCTTGCAGGTAGGTTTGTGCGTTGCTCTCAGTTTGTCTAACGACCTGTAGATTCGCGATGTGACTGTGTCACCCGTAGTGCTTTGCAGGCGCTGAGGCGAAATACCATTTTGAAAAGGAGCAATCCAGTCGTAAAGCTACTGCAAACTGCTGGAACGAATGTGCGCGCCGCTACGGCGAGAGCGCCATGTTGAAAACGGCTCGACACTGCGCATGTAAGACGACTGTACCCGTGCCAAGGCGAGAGCCACAGTTTGAACATTGCCCCCACCCCTTCCACCCTTGAAGTTCCTGCAGACGTGTAAGACGAATGCGCGTGGCGCTAAGGCGAGAGCCACAGTCTGAAAACCACGACCGCCCACCATCCTTGAAACTGCTGCATTGCTTTAAAAGAGTGCGCGCTGCGATAAGGCGAGAGAGACATGTTCAAAAGGAGCCTCCCTCCATCCTTGAAATGGTTGCAATGTTTGGAAGCGAATGTGCGCGGCGCCAGGGAGAGAACCACATTTTGAAAGCGGCCTGTCCTCTATCCTGAGGGGGAGACAGTTCACCCGTTTTCTCGTGGATTCACTCCGGTTGCAACAAGCTGCATCGCCACCGAATCAGCAATATGTTTGAAAATACGTTGGCGCTCACATGAACATGTGCATAAATGTGCACACATAAGTACACACACATACAAATACACACGCTTCACGCATGCATACATACATTGATAACATTTCAGCAGGATCCAAATAAGATTTCATGAGAGAACGTATCGAGGCGTCGCAGTGAGCTCCCTGATGGCGCATGTCCTCATCGCCATCATCATCGCCGGCGTAATCACCACCATCACCTCGTCAAAATCTTCATCATCGTCATCGTCGTCGTCTTCATCACGATCATCTCCCCAACCATCCTGTGTCTGACCCCATCACGTGTTTCGTGGCCCCAAATGGAGCTCCACCGAAGGCCCCACTGGCTGCGTCCTCATGGCGTACCCGCACCCGTTTTGGCACACCCTTCCCATGCTTCGCGGCCCAATGCCACCGAAGGCCCCAGTAGCTGCGCTCGCATGGCGCACCCGCACCCGATGCGGCACACACCCCAACCGCTTCGTGGCCTCATAGCGAGCTCCCCCTGGGGCCCTATTGGTTGCGCTCGCATGGCGCACCCGTACCCGTGTAAGCACACCCCTCGCACGCTTCGTGGCCCCATATGGAGCTCCACCGAAGACCCCATTGGCTGCGCTCGCACGGCGCACCCGCGCCCGGCTCGGCGCACCCCTCACACGCATCGTGGCTTTACAGGGATCCTTGTCGAGGGACCCAGTGGCTGCGCTCGCATGCCGTACACCGCGCCCCATAGGGAGCGGAACCCCACCGAAGGCCCAAGCGGCTGCGCTCGCATAGCGCAGCCGCACCCGATTCGGAACACCCCTCACACGTTTCGTGGCCCCAGACTGCGTTCGCATGGCACCGCCGCACAAGTTCTGGCACGCCGTTCACACGGCTCGTGGCCCCAGAAGGAGCTCCACCGACGGCCCCACTTGTTGCGTCACCCGTTTCGGCACCCCCCCACACGTTTCGTGGCCCCACAAAGGGCCCCACCGAAGGGTCCAGTGATTGCGTTCGCATGACACCGCCGCACCAGAAGAGGCACACCCTTCACACGCTCCGTGGCATCATAGGGAGTTCCACCGAAGACGATACGAACCATTGCCAGTCTATTTGTTTTGGGGGGGTGGTACCCCCCTCGGGCCCCCCGTCATCTTGTACATCCCCTACAAAAGCAATACCTGTTGTGGCAGATTGCCAGAGGATCCCTTCTCGTTGTGCGTTTCACACGGATATATGCTGTGGGGGGGTGGGGCGCACACAGGACCTTTTGCGGCGGGTGAGGGAGAGAGAGGAAAAAAGAGGGGGGAGCGTGAGAGAGAGAGAGAGATGGAACACATGAAATAGAGAGGCAAAGACGGAGACATACATTCAGAGGCAGCGAGAGAGAGAGAGAGAGAAAGAGAACGATAAAACGAAGAGAAGGTAAGATATTTACTCGGCGCGGAGATCCCTATGTGTACATATCATGCTCCTGTCACGTTTCGTTGAGGGGCTCTGTCTGTGATTATCTGGGTGTGACAGCGAGACCGCGGAGACGGCAGACGAGTTCAGTGGCGTCCTTCTCTGGACATCTTCCATGAGAACGAAGGAAGCACCAGTGGACGAGCGAGGGTGCGTTCCTCTCGCCGTCTCCCCGCGGCAATTGGGGCAATCGCGCATAGCGTTTCTACGCCCGCTCCCTGGCGTGCTACTCGCGGCGCCTGCTGGCACTTGGGGTGTCCAAGTGCCACCTCGGCTACATCGTAGCACCTATGCGCGTGTGAGCCGTAGTGCTAGCGAGTCTGAGCGCGGGTGATCTGAGTATGAGCGAGTCTGGGTGTGAGTGGATCCCGGTATGCTTAAGCCTGAGTGTGATACAAAGTGTGCGTGCGAATGGGTATGGGTATAGCTGGATATGATTGCGAGCGGGTCTAAGTGCGAGTGGGTCCGTTTACGAGTGAGTCTGAGTGCGCGTGGGTCTGAGTTTGCTCATGATGGACACCAAATCCGAATATGAGTGGGCTTGGGTGCGAGGTAGTCTGGGCATTAGCGAGTCTGAGTTCTGGTGAGTCAGAATGTGAGTCAGTATGGTTGTGAGTTGGTTTGGGTTTGAGTGAGTATGGGTTTGAACGGGTACAAGTATGAGCGAGCGAGTACGTGCGAGTCTGATGATGATTGAATGTGAGTACGATCGAGTCTGAATGTGGTGACTGAATCCGAGTGAAGAACGGCGTTGGTGAATCATCGTGACTGCGAATGAGCGC